ACGATATTTATTGACCATCTATTACAATTAAGTAAACAATTAAATTTAGATTTTAACTAAAACTCACACAATTTTTTTCCTTAAATTTCTCAAATTTCAGCTAAATTTTCAAGTCAGTATATCTAAATTTTCATTATTTGGTAATTGCTTGTAATATTTTATTTATATTTGTGTTGTTTTGTTCTAATTTGTAGCGGACTCCCTTAAATTTTTAGCGGACATCAATTTTTTATTTATTTGCATCTCAATTTCCTGATTAGGTCATTCATTTAATTATTCACATTTTAATTTAGTTTCTAGATTTTGTTGTTAATTACTAGAATGATTTGATAGGTTATTTAAATGGCCATTTTGAAGATTTAACCGGTAAGTCTTTTGTTGGGAAAATTGAATGCAAATAAATACAAGATTATCCCCTAAATGGCTAAAATTCTATTATCTATTCAAATATCCACGATTATTTCTGAGTCAGCATTTTCTTGAATTCTTGATTCCTTTAGTTGTTCGTTAAGTACAAATATGGTTGATGCGGTGATTTGCCCTAAAAATTATTTGAATTTTATGCATTTTGGTTTATTTTTTCTTTATTAAATCGCAAAAGTGATTTGAATTGATTTGGTTTAATTTAGAAATTTAAGTGATTTGGTTTTATTTGAAAATATTCCAAACCATGGTTGAAAATTAATCATAAATCGTCATATTGAACTGTGTTCACCCCTAACCACTATTTGCCATTTCATATCGAGTCTCTATTGCATGCATAAGAGAATTCCACCAATGTTAATCATAGTTGGATTATCCACATCAATGTTAAAGCTACTCTCCTCCCATACGGGTCTTGCCACCGGGAAATTAAATATGGCATGAGAACTATCCTATCCGATTTTGAGCACATGCTGCAAGCTGGCTTAATCTCCATTCCCCATTGACAAAGCAAGCTCTGGAAGGTAGAATGTTAAGAAATGCATCCACACAAAAATCTTAATATTCAAGATTATATCACACCTTGAGAACTGTCTTATCTGACTTTGAGCACTGGAATAATCTTTCAAATTATTAGGATACCAAGAAGTGGAAACACATTGCAAAGATTGCTCGTGAGAACTGTCTTGAGCAAGGACATGATGGTGAAATGAAGATGCACGCATATTGTCGATTTAGTCTCTTTTGAGATTACTAAGAAGAGACTGATATATTTTTTTCTTTTTTGATTTATATATTAAATTTTGAATTTTAAAGTTCATTTATGGCTTAACTTATTAATTTATTGCGTATATACAATAGAAGGATATGGACCATCAAATGTCTCATTTGTGGCCTAACTTAAAAGTTCATTGATGACTTGATTTTGTTGGTAAATAATCCATGTGAGTTCGTGTAAGTATAAATAGAGTTTAGATACTTCATAATTTTTTCATACATAATAGTAACTATGATAACAAATAATTTTGCTTTTATAGGATACTTATAAGACTTCAAGTCAATCCAAGTACGGTACAGTTAGTAATAGTCGAAATTACACCAAACCATATATTTGAACATCCAATTTCAAAAATCAAGTTCAAAGTTTGCTTTTTCAAAAATCAAATGATAAATACACATTTTAATTGATTAATAATATTATAAAATTAAATTAAATTATATTACGTAATTCACCTAACCTAACCTAACCTAACCCAACCCCGTCTATCTATAGTCGTCTCTCTCTGCCCTCTACCACAAATTGACCACTGAGCCCATAGCTTTCAATTCACTTCCACAAATTGACATCGGTGCTGCAGATCGAGTAGGAGAAGAGAAGAGGTGATGGTGATGGTGATGATGATGGTGCTGGTGTGAGACAGAGGCAAAGGTGAATCGTGATAGTTGTTGTGGCGATGGTGCGATGTGGTCGTGGTGGGTTGTGTGGTGGGGTGGTCGTGGTGGGTTGTGTGGTGGGGTTGTGATTTCTGGTGGTCGATGGCGGAGGTTTGGTGTAATTTCTGGTGGTCGATCATCGCAGTGGTGTACTGTGCAGTACAGGTGGTGATTTTGCAGTTACTTTGGCGGTGTTGTACTATGCATTGGATCTGGTGGCGGCGGCGGCTGGGGCTCTATTGTGGTATTGGTGGCTCTATTCGGTGGCAAAGGCTCTGCTCTATCTCTTCCATTCTTTATTTGTCAACGATGATAGAGCATCGCTCTACGGTCGCAATAAATTCATGATTCAATTTTGATACAATGTTACCGTAATCTCACTAATAGATGTTGATTCGTTGGTTGTGTGCAGTTGTGGTGGTGGCTATAGTGGTGTTGGTGTTTGCAGTACTCTAAGGTGGTGAAGATATTGGTGGTGTTGGTTGTTTTTTGGTAGAGGTGAAGGAAATAGTTGATTTAAGGTGGTTGTGTTGGTGATTGTTGAAATAGGTAGTGGTGGTGGTGATGCGACGACATCGAGTTTTATGCGATGCTTTGGAGTGGTGAGATGGGACGTGGGTACTATTGGTTTTGTAGTGATGGTGATATTGATGGTGGTGGCGGTGGGCGGTGTCACTAGAGGTTGGTGGTAGTGTGGTGCTTCGGAGTGGTGGGATGGGGTATGGGTGTATGTGACGATTTTATTAGTTGACTAAAAGTTGTGACCAATAAATTGGTTAATTTGTGACCAATGTGGAGGTAGTTTTGACAGTGACAGTGGTGATGGTGTTGTTGGAGGCAGCGTTGAAGTGGTGATCGTACGTGTTGGTAATGATCACAATTATTTGGTTGATTGCAACTAGTGAATTGGTTAATTAATGATCGATAAAAAATATGTGACCAATAAAAAAGATAAATTGTGACCAAAAAATAATGTATGGCCTAAAAAATTAATAATTTGTGTTTATTTAATAAGTTGTAACCTATAATATTTGTGATTCGTGACCTATAAATTTTTTTATTCGTGATCGAAAATAATGTGACTGAAAAATAAGTTGTGACCAATAATTTGATAAGTTGTGACTAAAAATTAATTCGTGACTAATTAATTTTTTAATTTGTGACCTACAAATTTTTTGAATTGTGATCGTAAAATAATTTGTGACATAAAATTTCAAATTTGTGACCCAAAAAAAATAATAATAAGTGTTTAATTAAATTGTTAATTTGTGATCAAATTGTATATATATGTAACCTAAATATATTTAATTAATAAAATAAATAAATAAATCATAAATAAATTTTAATAAAAATCTGATTTTTGAAGTTTGAAACGTGTTTTCTTAATTTTTAAATATGCTATACTTAATCTTTTACTTATGAAATTTTCCTTTAATAATAATCAACATGGGTTTGATCTAGATTTATGGGTCAATGGTGTCAATGACCCATCTAAGGGCCTTGTTTATATATTTGGTCCTCGACAACATTTTCACATTTTCTTGGCACAACAACTTCATCTAGACATTTGATACTTACACGTGACTTTATGAGTAATGAAGAGGTAAAAAATTTGAAGTTAGAGTCGGCTAGTGCACGAAATACAATGAAAAAAATAGTGAAACGATTGATGATTGCCTTAAAGGAGTTGAAACAATTTCCTCCTAGCTCTGAATCATGAAACGATGATATATAAAACATATAGTATTTGTTCTTTGGAATTTCGATATAACAACTTAATCTATTGAAGTTTTAATGCGCTTTGTTTTTCGTTTGGTATATTGAGTATTAATTAACAGGCTTGTTTTAGTGCATTTTTATATATTTTTAACGATTATTTATTTTAAAAAAAATTATGTTCTACCTACAATTTTTTCCGTTGGTGAGAAGTAAACGTTGTACGGTATTATGTAGGTAATGCCATGTTTTATTGCCAACGAAAATTCTACAGGTAATAAAACACACTTATATCAATGATAATTCCATAAATAACCTACGAAAAATCCTTAGGTGATGTTATTATGTTTAGCTACATAATTTTTGCAGGTAACGAAAACGCCTTTATTGATGAAATATCCATATCTAACGATGAAATGAAACTTTTATGAGTAAAAAATCCGCTGTTATCTTTCATTGAACCTCAAAACAGCAACAAACTTTTGGTCAAAGGGCCGTCAAACATTTTTGGTTTGTAAAAGATAATTGCAACGGATATCATGACTTCATCAACGAAAAATTCATTCTTGAAGCCACGATTTTTTGAGTGTCACAAGCCATCTTAGCTTGTCCCACCAAACGGAGAGCTTGTAGGGTGTTGAGATGAGCCGACTAGCATTTAGGTTGCCCTAATTAATGCTCTTACGATGGAAAGGGGTGAAGCAATGCATTTCACGTAAGGGACGTGATGCAGGAGGATCCTAGTCGAGTGATGCTGATTTGTCAGATAGCACGATGATGGCGCTGAGATACCATGAGATGGCGAATCGGCGCAAAGATGGAAAGTGAATCACCATTATTTCCTTAATTGGAGGAATTTGATGCGTCTTTGGTAATTTGGCCATAACTTTGGCTACGATTATCGAAATCGCTATTATGACCCTAATTCGGAAAGCTCTCTTCGGTGCGCACGTCGTGGCCACCCAGCTATGCTCGGTGGACGTCAATTTCGAGCCCAAAATCCACTGTTTTCCTTTTCAAAATTCAATTTTAAGTTATTTTTTTACTATTTATGGTAATATTTCGTTTCCTTTTTTTTTCATATGTTAGAAAACTCGAATTGAGCCAAATTTTTGGCAACTTACTTTTTTTACTTAATATTTTATTTTGGTATAATTTTGGAATTTTGCCATTTTTGGTAATTTTCCCATAATTTCGTATTTTGCAGCTATTTAACCCGGCTTGTGGGTTAGTTTTTATCATTCTGCATTATTAATAATATTGAGTTGAATTCAGAGTATTTTCTCTGATTTTTTGGGCATTTTCTGTCGTTCTTTTCTTACGAATTATCTGCTACAACAAGCCAATAGAATAATCACTATCTTACCCGGCGTCAGTTGGTATTAGAGCGTCAGCATCTTCTTGGGAGATAAATTCCATCAGTTATAATGGTTGGTGGACGTGGTCGTGGTTGTCGAGGACAGGTTCCGATTGAGGAAGTCCCGTACTGTGATCGTAATATTTAGGATGTGACAATTGAAGATTTGCAGAGACAAGTTGTGGAGTTAACCCAACGTTTGGCGGAGTAGGAGTTCGGTAATCATGATGTAGAAGGTCACGATTCCAATACCAATTTCGAAAACCCGTATCACCATCGTGCTCGAGTTTGGGAGCATCGTGGATGGGAGGATCGTCATGTGGATCTCGGTTTCAGAGTGGATCTGCTCGAGTTTTCTGGTACATTGCAGGCTGAAGGATTTATTGATTGGCTGAATGAAGTGGAGCGGATTTTTGAATATAAGGTGATTCCAGATCGTGTCAAAGTGAAACTGGTCGCCATCAAACTCAAAGGTAGGGCATCTGCATGGTGGGAACAGTTGAAGCGTTCACGGGAGCGACAGGGGAAATCCAAAATTACTAACTGGGAGAAGATGAAGAAGAAGATGAAAGGGCACTTCCTCCCTTTCGGCTATACTCAAACCTTGTTTCAGAGACTTCATTCACTAAGGCAAGGCGCAAGATCGGTCAATGATTATACTGAAGAATTCTATCAGTTGGTGGCTCGAAATGATTTATCTGAGACGGAGGAGCAGATGGTAGCACGGTATTTGGGGGATTAAGGCAGCCCCTGCAGGATGTTCTCAGCCTTCATTCATTGTGGACAGTTTCTAAGGCATATCAGCGAGCACTTGCAGTAGAGAAACAACAAAGTAGGAGGCCAGTGGTCAGAGGTGAAGGAAGTCAGCCAGTTCGCCCTCAAGAATCTCGTCCTGCTTATCAGCCACAGCGGGATAGTTCCAACTCAAGTATTAAGTGCTTTAGGTGTGGTGAACAGGGGCATAGGGCGACTGATTGCAGGAAGCCTGCTGGTCAGAAGAATAAAAATCTTCTGATTGAGGAGGATATGATAGAGGAGTTTGAGGAAGTTGGGGAACCCGTGTATGATGAGGGTGAAGATGAGGACGTGATATATGGAGATGGTTAGGAGACCTTGGTCGTTCGAAAGAGCCTGCTGACTCCCAAGGGCGACTCAGGGGATGATTGGTTGAGGACCAATGTTTTCCACACAACCTGCACAGTTGCTGATAAAGTCTGTAAGCTGATAATTGATAGTGGCAGTTGTGAGAATGTAGTGTCTGAGGAGGCTATCGAGAAACTGCAGTTGAAGATGGATCGTCATCCTAAACCATACAAGTTGTTTTGGCTGAATAAAGGCAGTGAGGTAACAGTAGAAAAACGATGCTTAGTGTCTTTCTCGATTGGAAAAAAATATTTTGATAATGCTTGGTGTGATGTGGTATCAATGGACGTGTGTCATGTTTTGTTGGGACGACCTTGGCAGTATGATCGCAGTGTTATCCATGATGGACGGAAGAATATTTATTCTTTTAGCATCAAAGGGAAGAGAATTGTTTTGGTGCCTCACAGGGAAAGACTGCTCCGGTAGTTAAAAACCCCAATCTACTTTCTATGTCCAGGTTCTTGGTTGAGGTTGGGTGTGAAAAAATAGTTTATGCTTTAATGCCTCATGAAAATAGTACAGCGAATGTGGATTCAAAATTTCCAGCAGAAGTACAGCAACTACTGATGGAGTTTTCTGACTTGATGCCGGAGGATCTTCCTCCAGGACTACCACCTATGAGGGACATTCAACATCAGATCGACCTCATTCCGGGGTCGAGTCTACCAAACCGACCAGCATATCGCCTCAGTCCCAAGGAAGCTGAAGAGTTGCAGCGACATGTGGTAGAATTATTGGAAAGGGGCTACATTCGTGAGAGTATGAGTCATTGTGCAGTTCCTGCTCTCCTAGTGCCGAAGAAAGATGGGTCATGGCGTATGTGTGTTGACAGCTGGGCAATTAACAGGATTACAGTGAAGTACAGGTTTCCAATTCCCCGTCTGGACGACATGTTGGATCAATTGTCCGGTTCTAAGGTCTTCTCAAAAATTGACCTTAAAAGTGGATACTACCAGATCAGAATCAGACCTGGAGATGAGTGGAAGATCGCGTTCAAGACACAGCATGGGTTGTACAAGCGGATGGTCATGCCCTTTGGACTATCCAACGCCCCCAGCACTTTTATGAGGTTTATGCATCAGGTTTTACGGCCTTTCATGGGGAAGTTTGTGGTAGTTTATTTTGATGACATACTTATTTATAGTCTGACATGGGAGTCACATTTTAATCATCTTCGTGCTGTCTTTGATGTAATGAGGACGGAGCGCTTATTCATCAATCAGAATAAGTGTTCTTTCTTCACAACTTCTGTAACTTTTTTGGGTTTTGTTTTGTCTACTGATGGGGTTCATGCAGATGAATCCAAAATCGAGGCAGTTTTGAATTGGCCGAAACCAAAAACTTCGCACGATGTCAGGAGTTTCCGTGGATTGGCATCCTTCTATCGTCGATTCATCAGAAACTTTAGTACCTTGATTGCTCCTATCACAGAGTGCCTTAAAGGGCGTGATTTTCAATGGACTGAGGAGGCAGAGGCTAGTTTTCAGTTGATTAAGCAGAAGATAACGGAGGCCCCAGTCTTGGCACTTCCGAATTTTGAAAAGGTGTTCGAGGTAAATTGTGATGCGTCTGGAGTTGGCATTGGTGGTGTTCTGAGTCAGGAGGGACGTCCAGTAGCCTTTTTTAGTGAGAAGCTATCGGGATCGAAGAAAAATTATTCCACTTATGACCTGGAGTTCTATGCTATAGTTCAGACTCTGAAGCATTGGCGTCATTACCTGGTACAAAGGGAGTTCATCCTTGTCACTGATCATGAGGCTTTGAAGTACATCAATGGTCAACACAAGCTGAGTAGGCGACATGCAAAGTGGGCGAGGTACTTGCAGGAGTTTACTTTCACACTCAGGCATCAAGCAGGGAGTTTGAATCGAGTAGCAGATGCATTGAGCTGTCGCACATTACTCCTCACCATCATGAGCACCAAGATTGTCAGATTTGAGGCATTTCCTGATATGTATGCTGCGGATCCTTCATTTGGGAAGATAATTCGGGGGGTAACTGATAATCACCGACATGATTTTGTTTTACATAATGGTTACCTGTTTCGTGGATTGCAGTTATGCATTCCGGATTGTTCACTAAGGCAGCAGATTATTAGTGAACTTCATAACAAAGCACATTTTGGGCGAGACAAGACATTGACATTGATCTCTTCTGATTATTACTGGCCCAAGTTGAGCAGTGATGTAGCGCATTATGTGGAGCGGTGTTATGTATGTCAGCAGTCTAACGGGGCTCTTACTAATGCTGGATAGTACACACCATTACCCGTACCTGAAGCTCCTTGGTTTTATGTCAGTATGCATTTTGTCTTAGGCTTACCTCGTACATAGCGGGCGATGGATTCCATTCTTGTTGTGGTTGATAGATTTTCAAAGATGGCTCATTTTGTTGCTTGCCGAAAGACAATGAATGCTACTCGGATTGCTCATCTTTATTTTAGAGAGATTGTGCGTTTACATGGTGTTCCACAGTCAGTTACTTCTGATCGTGACACTAAGTTTATGAGTCATTTCTAGAGGAGTTTGTGGGAGAAACCTGGAACGAAATTGAATTTTAGCAGCGCATACCATCCCCAAACAGATGGTCAGACTGAGGTGGTGAATCGGAGTTTGGAAAATCTTTTGAGAAGCTTAGCCGGGACTAAATCGAACCAGTGGGATTTGGCATTACCTCAAGCAGAGTTTGCTTATAACCGGTCGAGGAATAGAACCACTGGACTGAGTCCTTTTGAAATTGTCTATGGTCGAAACCCATCCGGAGTACTTGATTTGGCTCCAATTCCACGTGTGGGTCGCTTCAATAACAAAGCTGATGAGATGGCTAAACATCTTCAAGGTATCCATGAGCAGGTGAAGCTGTCCATACAGGATAATAATACTAAGTACAAAGTTTAGGCAGATAGTCATCGACGCCAAGTGTTGTTTGATGTTGGTGATTTTGTTTGGGCAATATTAACTCGTGATCGTTTTCCAGCTGGGGAATACAATAAGCTAAAGGAGCGGAAGATTGGACCTTGTGAAGTGCTGTAGAAGATCAATGATAATGCTTACAGATTGCGCCTCCCGAGCCATTTGAAGACCTCTGATGTCTTCAATGTAGAACACCTAAGCCCTTGTTTTATGGAGTCCGATGAAGTAACTGTGAACTCGAGGGCGAGTTCTTTCCAACCCGGGGCGACTGATGCAGGAGGATCCGAATCGAGTGATGCTGATTTGTCAGATAGCACAATGATGGCACCGAGATACCATGAGATGACGGATCGGCGCAAAGATGGAAAGTGAATCACCATTATTTCCTTAATTAGAGGAATTTGATGCGTCTTTGGTAATTTGGCCATAACTATGGCTACGGTTATCGGAATCGCTATTATGACCCCAATCCGGAAAGCTCTCTTCGGCGCGCACGTCTTGGCCACCCAGCTATGCTCGGTGAACGTCAATTTCGAGCCCAAAATCCACTGTTTTCCTTTCCAAAATTCAATTTTAAGTTATTTTTTTACTATTTATGGTAATATTTCGTTTCCTTTTTTTCATATGTTAGAAAACTCGAATTGAGCCAAATTTTTGGGAACTTACTTTTTTTACTTAATATTTTATTTTGGTATAATTTTGGGATTTTGCCATTTTTGATAATTTTCCCCTAATTTCGTATTTCGCAGCTATTTAACCCGGCTTGTGGGTTAATTTTCATCATTCTGCATTATTAATAATATTGAGTTGAATTCAGAATATTTTCTCTAATTTTTTGGGCATTTTCTGTCGTTCTTTTCTTGCGAATCATCTGCTAGAATAAGCCAATAGGATAATCACTATCCTACCCGGCGTCAGGGCGGACCCAATGTAGGCCCATGCCTGCACTGAACTTTAGGGAAAATGTTTTTACCAGCACCAACATCTACCATATCCAAGCTAATGTGGTTGCTCATATTAAAAAACTAGAGGGCGAAAGTGAAAACCCTAGGAGTGAAAAGAGATAGAAGAGAGAACCCATAAGAGCCTTCCAGCTTTTGCTGTCCTCTTCCTTATGCCTTGTTGGCAGTCGCAGTGTAGGGGTTCGATTTCTGAGACATGGAATTGGACTCCTTGTAGGTGCAGTGTACATGCAACTCTTGTTCCCTGACCTGTTGGGGCACATCCTGCGATTTACCTCCCTCACAAAGTTTTAGGGGCGGGGCGGTGGGAGCCCTTAAGGTTGGGGTTCAACCTTTTTTATTATTATTATTATTATTTTGAGAATCAATTCTAATAAGAACCATCCACTCGCTCAATCCAATGGATTTTCTATCTTTACTACATGGTATTCAATCCGTAAGAGCTTCAAGCTTTTGCTATCCTCTTCCTTTGCTCTCTTCTACTGTCTAAAACCTAGAAAGTAGGACCTGATTAAGGTTGTGTTTGGGTTATAATTTTTGTGGGGCTTTGGTGTGGTTTAAATGTTTGAGGGGTTGGTAACTTGGTATGGGATTCTGAATTGTTACATGGGTTGCGCATTTATAGTGTCGGTTTATTTTTGGGCAATTACACAAATATTGAAGAAATGGGCAGAACAAATAAATTAACTTCTGGTAAATATTAAAAATAACAATCTAAGTTCGTGCTTAAAGAAAGGTACAATAAATTTTATTGTAATATTCGTGTTATAATGTTATCGTAATTTTTTTTGTTTACCATTATTAATCTCACACGCACGACGGTCTTGAGAACTATGTATAATTAAAAAAAAAAAAAACAAAAGCAACTGAACAATGATAAAAGGTTTAATGTTTTAAACTTCCCATGCAAAAACTCTCAAAAGTGTGTGTGCGCGCGCCTATATATATATATATATTTTGAAGTGATGATTTAGTGACAGACCATACACTAGATTAAGATGTTTAAGAATACATGTTCTCCTTTTCATTATCTGCTCTATCTTCTTCAAATGGACCTTTTCCTCGTCATGGATATGATCTAGCATCCTTTTTTGGATTATTCAACCGAATTCTTTGAAAATCTTAGTTGGTCAAAACAGTTTAGGCATTTTATATAGATGTCCTTCTGACCTTCTCAAACACAGCTAATAATTGAAAGCAAAATGTCAAAGGGCTTCTTGCACATATAAACTATTAGTTTTAAAACTTTATTTTGCCATACAATTTCTTCACTGGCATCAATTGTTGAATTTTATCAACTTTGAATTGCTAGCGTATAGGGCATCTTGAGTTAGACTTAACGTATCATCATGAGGAGTATGACTAGGTCCAAAAAGTATATTTCTTTAATTTTCTCATCGTTCTCCCCGTTTCTGGACATAGTTAGTTTTCTTATATTGCACCTTTAGCTACAGACATTGGCAGATTTAGGACTCAAATTCAGTAGAAGCATTAGTTAACTTAGCAAAGTTTTTTCAAACAATGCAATAATATTTTTAGGGAATTAATTAATTTTTTAATGGAATTAATATAATAATATTGTACCTTTAAGTCCTTGTTTGGTTCCCATTATTTTCAAAAATACATTTTTCTTTCTTATTTTCATTCACATATTTTTTAATAAAATAATATTACACGTAAATTCAAAATTTTTTCTTATTTTTTAACCACACATTTTCTATCAAAATACTATTCCAAAATGCATTTTGTTAAGAATACGGGGCTCAAACATGCTATTAGCTATATTGTATCTTGCAGGTTTAAATGCTTTTTCTGCATGTACGAGTTTCTGACGTCTTCGGTATAGTGTGTTTGGAAGTATTTCTTTCATGGCTAAACCTCTATTTAAGATTGATGTGAAATAAATTGAAGTAGACATCTCATGTTTTTTAATTAATTCTATCTCTAGTGTTTGTGCAACTCTGAGTTAAAATGCTCTAAAATCTTGCACTTGAGCTCATGTAAAACTTAAAATTTTGAGCGCCGAAGATTTTCCTCACTAACAATTTTTTTTTTTTTTTTTTAAGAATAATTGTTTTAGGAAGAGATTAGTTTACAAAAAAAAATTTATTTTTTATTGGAATAAAAAATAAAAAATTAGTTAATTCTTCATATATGGTGCAATTGTTGAACTCTAAGGCGTCTTCAGTACCTTGGAACCTGTGATCCAAATGGGTTAAGTGCCTTCAGTATCTATCTTAAATGAACTTCATAGCCTGCCACATATTTGTGAAGAAAACGCAGCTGATACTGTATTGGAGGTACATGTGGTGACGGGCCAATCAATGTCATGGGGGTGCATTTTGCTCCGGATTATTGTGTTTTGATTTGTGAGAAAAATATGTAATTGTGATATTTGTTATTTTTTCTTTGTCATTTTGGATTGTAAATTATTGATGCCTGTAATGCTTTCATTTAAATATAATTCCAGGATGGATTTCATGGTGAGTGTTAATCTAGTTGGGATGTACCTAGAGTTTACTAGAGATGGCAATTGGGCGAGTTGGCCATTTTCATTTCCGTCCCATCGGGTATTTTTGTTACATTGTCCTGTCTCTATACTCGATTTAAGTCGGATTGAACGAGGCAGGTCCTTTGTCCCGTTTATCACTCTATTTATTATTATACGAGGCAGGTCCTTTGTCCCGTTTATCACTCTATTTATTATTATACGAGGCAGGTCCTTTGTCCCGTTTATCACTCTATTTATTATTATACGAGGCAGGTCCTTTGTCCCGTTTATCACTCTATTTATTATTATACGAGGCAGGTCCTTTGTCCCGTTTATCACTCTATTTATTATTATTATTATTATTATTATTATTATTATTATTATTATTATTATTATTATTTCAGTTAAATTTTTTTTTATATCATTATTTAGTGAATATCATTACTTTTTTGTTCTCTTTAAAAATGATGATAAATATTTTTTTTTTGTTTGATAAAAAATTTAATTTGAAAGTAACTTTAAATGAGACAGGTAACTGGACATGACCATGTTTCTCGTACCCCGTCCCTGTCCTAGATCTGTTTACCTAATTAGGCGAGTAATCCCCGCCCCATTTAAAGTGGAATCCATGGACATCAGGTTGAATGAATTTTTTGGTCATCCCTTGAGTTTACCTCATTGCCCTCAATTCTCCTAGCTATCATTTGCAGCAATAGAAAGAATTGTTTGTAATGCATAGAAAAAGGCAAGTTATGCTAACTTGGGAGCCAGTTGTTGAATGAATGTCATTCTTGGCATAATTAGTAGAATTGCACTTGGCGTACGAAATTGGCTTCACAAGAGTTATACAAGGCACGCATAATGGAAGGGATGGGTGAGTTTTTTTTTTTTTTTTTTGTGGTAATATTTTACTCACATGGGATTTGTAGGATCTGGAATTTTTCTGTCAAACATCATTCTGTACATACAAAATAATTGTATTTAGTATGTAGTATTGTATGGTTGAAAGATATGAAAAAACTAAAAAAATCATTTGAAATTCTTTTTTTATTGTGCAAATTTCATCTAAATTGGGGTGGGTTTATGGCAGGGCGGGTGCGGGTTCTCCCACCCCCGTCCTGTACCCGCCTCGTTATCAGTTTAAGGCGGGGCGGTCGCCCTGTTTACTTACCCATTTAATTTTTTTTTTTTTTAGTTTTTGATAATTCATTTTATTACACTCATTCATTCACGTGAGACAATAATATAATTATTAAATTTCTAATTAATTTATTTTTTTAAAAGTTAAATTATTCGAATATATTTGGTAAATTAAGGTTTTTATTGTTTATCATATACATTAGATAAATTTAATTGCCATCTTATATTATAATTAACGAAATTTCATGGAGTTTTTCCATTTAAAGTATTGAATTCTTAAAAAAAAAAAAAAAAAAAAAAGGGGACTGGATGGGGCGGGGCTCCCGTTACCCATACCCGATCGGATTACCCTCTTCCCCGCCTTGTTTAGGATGGAGCCCGCGGATATTGAGTTTGTCCCTACTAAATCAATCAAAGATCAATATTGTTTTGCTTTCTCTCTCCAATGCTGTGGTACTGAAGATTATATATTTGATTCTTATCATGTTGAACTAAATTTATTATTATTTTTTTTAAAAATCACCGTTGTGAACTTCCAATCTGCTTCCAATGAGGAAAAGTTAGGACTGTAACTAGTTGTTTAAGCAGTCTTCTGACTTAATTTATGCTTTCCAACCGTAGCTGTCTTACATAAAATGCCCGAATGCATGTTTGACTAACAGAGATTATATGGAATACATGCACAATGAATTAAATAATCCAAAAACTGAAGATAAACCAAATCCACTACTGGGAAAAGCAAGCACCTATTTCTAAAAAGAACAATTTTGTTCCGGGAAAGATGACAGCAACGCGTTACGCGTTCTAGCAGCCGATGGTGACCAACGCCATTTGCAAAGCACTAAGCTTTTGTGCCTATAAATTCAACTCAAAATACCTTTTCTTCAATCACATTAAGTTGCAACCAAATCTCAGTATCTACATCTCAGTTTATAATGGATTCTGTACATTTCTTAGGCAATATTGTTGTTTCTTTTTCAGTGTTGATCTTGCTTTGGAACGCACCATGCGAAGCTCAACTTTCTCCATCATTTTATAGCAATACATGTCCAAATGCTCTCACTACAATTCGCACTTCCATCCGGCAAGCAGTATCCCGAGAACGCAGGATGGCTGCCTCTCTCATTCGCCTCCATTTTCATGACTGCTTTGTTCAAGGCTGTGATGCATCAATCTTACTAGACGAAACCCCTTCTATAGAAAGTGAGAAAACTGCATTTCCAAATATAAATTCTGTAAGAGGTTATGAGGTCATAGAGGCTGCCAAGAGGGAGGTTGAGAAAATATGTCCAGGAGTTGTTTCGTGTGCAGACATACTCACAGTGGCAGCCCGGGATGCCTCCGCAGCTGTAAGTACAAGTATACCTTATTATCATCTTATTATTGTCATTATTGAAAATTGTGGACGTGTAAAGCCTTGTAAGAAAGAATAAATTCGTCACGGATATTAGGGGGCATGTCGTATATCTAAACTTATTGGTTTTGAATTAAGCTTTGTTGTGAGATAAATTTGACATCTTTGTTGACAGAAAAGAAGTGCAAAAAAAGTGATTGGATGAATTTGTTAATTGTTTTTAAACAGTTCAATGAAATTTTACCACGTGACAATTCTGTCATCTAGGATGTGATTTAAGATGTTAGTGTAGCATCATTGAGAGTTTTTTGTGCACCACAGGTTGGTGGGCCATCGTGGAACGTGAAACTTGGAAGAAGGGATTCTACAACTGCTAGTCGTTCTGTAGCTAACACCGATCTTCCAAGTCCTTTTTCCGATCTCAACACACTTATTTCTGCGTTTGCGAACAAGGGACTTAGTGCTAGAGACATGGTTGCCTTATCGGGTAATTAAAACGCCTAGCATCCATATTATTATTGTTTTTTACACTTGTTTGATGTTTGTTGAGCTAAAATTTACTACTGAAATGCAGGATCTCATACAATAGGCCAATCCCAATGTTTTCTCTTCCGGGATAGGATATACAGCAATAGAACAGACATTGATGCTGGATTCGCTAGCACTCGTAGGCGCCAATGCCCTAGAAATAGTGGAGACAGTAATTTGGCAGCCCTAGAATTGGTGACACCCAATTCATTTGATAACAATTACTTTAAGAATCTAATGCAGAGAAAGGGTCTTCTTCAATCAGATCAAGTTCTGTTCAGTGGAGGATCAACAGACAGTATTGTTTCCGAGTACAGTAGAAATCCAAGAACATTCATGTCTGATTTTGGAAATGCCATGATCAAGATGGGAGATCTTGAACCGCTCACTGGCCAAAATGGGATCATAAGAAGGATCTGTAGGGCCACCAACTAGTTTACTCCATGACTATATGATCCTATTTCAGATTTGCCATGTTTCTAATTGTATATCTATTTCCATTCATGTTCTTTAATCTCTAATTTTTTTCGTTTTATTCTTTCAAATTCTCTAGAAGCTTTCTCTTAATCATTTCAAGATTTTTTTTTCCTTTAATAAAGGAAATTATGTTTGTCGTTACATATAAAATACTAAGACAAATAATTATTGACACGAAAGCGTTTCTGAGATAGTTTACATTCCAATAAAATTCGAAAAGAAGAAAATACGTCTGTCATTAAATACAAAATATAAATAACAAAAAGGTCATCGTGATAACGTTTCTGGGACAATTGAACATTTCAATCTGGTATCAAGTTTTAGTGCATTATGATTTTGTCCTTTTCAAAATGAATTCATAACTTGCCATGAACTTTTAAGTTATTTTCTTGCATGCGTTCCTTATGTTAGGATCAGTGCGCCAAAAGCAATGTGTAGGATCAGGTTTTAGCTTTCACCAAAAAAATTTAATTTCAGATTAATTAATTTACCGTAAAAGTAAAAAGCGTAGATAATAACACTGGTAAATTCACATGATTTGTCAATTGGCTACATCCGCGGGTCACAGCCAACTATTGAACACTTCACTAAAATTGAAAAAGATCGAGGACACAATACAATTTTAAAAACAAACTTCATTTTTAAAATTGACAGTGTCCTGTAATATCAATTATTTGTTCAATTAGCACTGAATGTCTTGTCGGTTTTAAGCTTTTGAACTTCCTCCAAAGATGCAAATCTTCAACCCGTGAAGAACACGACCATTTCTCTCAAAAATTACAATAGATGGTCTCGAAACACTTCAAAGATTTCTTAGTGTATTATGCATGATTCTAGGAATCATAGAGATTATTTTGCTACATATTATTTCCTAGATTAGTTTTGTTTCCTTACATAGCAGATTTCATATATATATATATATATATGTGTGTGTGTGTGTGTATCAATGTATTACATACAAAATTAATGAAGTTTATTTTCATTACATTGAAACTTAGGCCCTGTTTGGTAGGGATTTTGAGAATTGATTTTTTAACCGTTAGAATAAAAGTGGGGTCCATATATGAGAGAAGAAGTCAAAAATTACGACTTGAATAGTAAAATAACGAACAAAAAATCAATTTTTTTGGCAAAAAATCCCTACCAAACGGAGCCTTAACATGGTATCAGAGCATTAGGTTTTGAAATTCATACCTTTGCTTCTACCATGGCCGAATCCCCTGCCTTAGACATCAACAAGTCTCTCACTGATGCTTCATCCACATACTTCCTGCATTCATCTGACCAACCAAATCAGTTCCTTGTGGATACACCTCTTAATGGCGAGAATTATCCCGCTTGGTGTCGAGCAATCACTCGAGCACTTAATGCCAAGAACGAATTGGGCTTTGTTCTCGGCACCATCAAACGACCCACCGAAGACTCCGCTGCAGCATTACTCTGGGACCGATGGTGTGACATGATAATGTCATGGATGCTCCATTCCATCGATCGCTTGCTTACAGGCAGCCTTCTCTATTGTGCTACACCGAATGGTTTATGAGTAGAACTAGAAACCCGCTCCCAACAAAGCAACCGCACCAAAGTTTTCCAACTAAAACGGGATTTGGCCAATCTCCACCAGGAACAAAATTCAATTACAGCATACTATGGAAAATTGAAGGAGTTATGGGATGAATTAGGCTCCTTACAACCAATCAGTCCATGTACATGTGATGCCCGTAAATCTCTCGTTGAATCTCAAGACACAGATCGGGTTTATCAATTCCTTATGGGCCTTAATGAAAGTTTTTAGCAAATTCGATCACAGATCTTAGCCACAGATCCACGCCCTTCTATTACTCGTTGCTATGCTATCCTCCATCGAGAAGAAACCCAACATTTGCTCCAATGTCCATATGTTAAGTCAATTTATGCAACACCCTTGGGATTCACATCACCAAGCCGCACTTCATGTTCTGCGATACCTGGAGGGATCTCCAGGACATGGACTATTTTATTTTGCTCAGTGTGATCTCAATCTCTCTGTATACTCTGATTCTGATTGGGCTAGTTGTCCTACCACTCGTCACTCCACAACTGGAGTTTTCATTGCTCTTGGCACTAGTCCCATTTCTTGGCGAACAAAGAAGCAAATAGTTGTCTCTCGCTCCTCTACCGAAGCTGAATATCATGCCATGGCAATGGCCATCTGTGAGCTTATTTGGCTCAAATCTCTTCTGCATGACCTTGCTGTTGTCTCAACCCAACTTATCTTGCTCTATTGTGACAATGAAGCTTCTCTTCACATAACTCGCAACCCTGTTTTTCATGAATGCACCCAACATATTGAAAGTGATTGCCACTTTGTGCATGAAAAACATCTCTCTGGGCTTATTCTTCCTACACAAGTCTCTACCAGATTTCAACTAGCTGATATTTTTACCAAGGCTCTTGGGAAGGAACTTTTCCACCATTTCACTCGCAAGTTGGGCATTACTGACCTCCATGCTCCAACTTGAGGGGGAGTATTACGCATGATTCTAGGGATCATAGAGATTATTTTGCTACATATTATTTCCTAGATTAGTTTTGTTTCCTTACATGAAATCATATATATATATATGCATCAATGTATTACATACAAAACTAATGAAGTTTATTTTCATTCCATAGAAACTTAACAAAGTGTATAACCAAGAATTAAATACTAAATTTGTTCCTTCTAAGCTTTCTAAATTTTAGCTACAAGATTTAGAAAAAATTACATGTTTGTCTATGAAAATCAAGAATCTTTTTCCTCACAGAAGTCACCAAATTTACAATGAAAGAGCTCTTCTTTTATTCACAAATTTTGTGCAGTTGAAGTAAATCTTCGTAACGGAATGGCATCTGATCTCCGGGGGTCGTCTACATTAGACATGGAAATTTATGAATTGAAGGTTTATTTTTGTTATGTTTCTATTGTATTGACAATTTTTTAGACAAAATGATTAATATAAAAGAGTTGTCAAAGTCAAGGAGTCTATTGAAATGTTGCAATCAAAGTAAATTATTGAGTCCTAATTATAGCAAAATAGTTGAGGTTGGTAAGTATAGTCCTTGAAGGAGTTCAAGATATCCTAGCAGATTATACATGATTATTGGAATGCAATTAAAAGCCTAAAGAATATCAAAGAGTCGCACAAGTTATGTTCCAAATTCTTAGTCATAACTTACAATGCATTTTTCACATAGAAAACATTGAAATTTGGACAAGGCTATTGTTAGAAGAATTGTAGCCCTTTGAGTTAGATTTTCAACACATTTTGAATCACCTCAATCAGACATTGGGAGAGAAAGTTATGATGAAAATACTGATAACTACTCGACTGTTGCTCGCTTGTCGCTAGCTCCTCGCTCGAGCAACAAGTCGATTACCAGAATTCTATTTTGCTTCAAACAGTTGGTTTTTCAATTCCTTTTCATCCCAAACACTTTTCTCTATATACATTGTGAAGATTTTCAATTTTTTCACATACATCCTACCCTATGAACGTCCAAAAGTGTGGTTGTTCATTATATTCCATATTCATATCATTCTTTGAAGATCCAAGACATTATTTATTGATTCATCACTTTTGATTCTTGAGATCCTTCAACCATACATTTGGGAAAAAACATCAAACCCTTGAATTCAAAAACCTGACTTCCTTAACACTCCTTAACACTGTAAGAAATGTACTCTCTCAGTTGGGCATTGAGAGAGGTGGACTGCAAGAGTAGGAAAAACAACAAGAGCATGAGGTTCTTGAAATTCTTCACTTGGAAGAGACAATTGGTATCATATCAAGAGGCTGTAAGAAGACAGCAGATCTTGGAGACTACAACAGGTAGATCAAGAAGTCTAGTGGAGTGGCTAGATAGTATTTATGGCAATAGATCATGAGATTGTAAGATTGACAACGGATCTTAGAGATTACAGGAATTACAACAGTTAGAACTAGTGAAAGTTGTTAGACTGGAATCACACTGAGGTAAATGGTTTGATCCTGAAATTTTTCCCGCATTGGGTTTCTCCGTCAACAAATTTTGTGTTTTTATTACTTTCCATATTATTATTCCGACATTCAAACTTAGGGAAATTTGACTTGTATGTATAATCATCTAGAAAGCTAATTAAAAGTGACTTGTTGCTTTTATTAGTCAATTTTGCAGGTAAGGTCGAATTGATAAATTGTCTGGAACGTAAATTTGATAATTTTAAAAGTTGAAGTAGTGTGTAGCGTCTCAAACCTGATTTCAAAATTTTCACTAGGGCATAGATATTACCGGGTGCTGCTACATTTGGTGAAACACACGTGAAGTTTGGAGCTTAGGGCACTTCCTCTGAAACAAGGTGTTTTAAGATTGCAACCTTGGTATCCTAATTTAATCCCGCACGACAAAAAACCTATAAAACTCGTTAAATTAGGACTTTAATTTAATTATTATTTTGACTTTTATGGCACCGATTCTTAGCCTCTTTCTTAATTTCCACTAACAAAAATTCACTTCAAAACGTCAGAAAATCAAGGATTAGAGTAAAATAGTACGAGATTGCTTAATTAGAGTGAATGATCAGATCTGGTTGGCCAAACGTAGCTACACAGCTCTAAACGAGTATTATGGTTGAACTCATGGCAAATAATTTTTACAAAAATGAAATCAATTAGAAACTAAAAATTCGTCCCCAAAATTCCGCAATAAAATTTGGTGAAAGAGTCCTAAAAGGTACTAATTAAAAAAAATTTAAAACTGATGTAGGGACAAACTCCATGATTAAAAAATACATGCTCTCTTTCTTGGAAACGGAAATGGATTTGATCCAGCATTTATTGAACTCATCAGTGGATTGAAAATCTGTAATGGTCAAAACTGTATTTAGGCATTTTATGTAGTATTGTAAACATATTCTCGCCATAGAATTTCTTAGTTGGCATCAACAATTGAACTTTATCAAATTTAAATTTATGGTGATGCCTGGTGGATTGACTTTTTCCTTAGTTGACATCTAACTACAGTAGAAAAATTTATAATTAGTATGACATTGACTAATTAGTCTATTTCCTTATCATTTTTCTGGGTAAACATTT